ATCAACATTTCTCTCTCTCTCTCCTCCCATACACACACACACACACACACACATGAGTGTTGGAGGACACAGTTCAACCTGTAACACGCCATAGGTGAATACTATTATTCCCATTTTATAGATGGGGAAACTGAGGCACAGCAAGATTCCCATAGCTGAATGGCAAAGCTGGGACTTGATCACCTGCCATCTGATTCTCAGCCCAGCCTCGACCACTGCAATACAGTGCCTCCCGCGTGCCCTCCCCAGAAGCTTCTTGGGCTCACAAGGGATACCCCTGTGTGTCTCACTGTCACCTCTTCTGATTTCATGCCTCTGCTGAATTGTTTCTTCCCAGTATTCCTTTTTACATTTTTTTTCTAATTTTTAGTTCTATTTTTATCAGAGCTATGCGTCCCTATAATTTGGAGAGTCAAATACAAGAATTTTTTAAATGAAAACCAACAGTCTCCATCTGCCTACCCTCTGTTTCTCACCACCCCCTGCCCCCCCGAGGTATCTGTTTTCACCTCATTTATTGTGTCATTTTGTTATTTATGTCCTGGTCTCTAAATACCACCTTTGGTTGGCTGCCTCTCGATTTTTCAACTTTAGGCATTTTCCATTCACTTTTCCCAATGGAGGACACATACTCACGCTCTAGTTTAAATTCCTCCAGCCTCCCACGCTGCGACTCCGGCTGGCTGGATATGCAGTATTTACATGTTATGACTGTGTCAACACTCCCACAGCTGCCGCAAGGAGTAAACCAAGAAGGCTTCCTCTCCTACACGAGTCTTTGTTTTTCCTGGAGTTAATGATTGTCTTTTTTTTTTCAGTTGCTTAGTGTCTGAGTTTTCTTTTGCTTAACTAATTCAAACCCACATTCTCTGTTAACTACGTGAACCTCTTCATGTATTCAGACGAGTCAGGTGTACTCCATTAATTTCACCTGATTGAAGAAGTTTCTCGCGCTTTCTGGCTGCTGCAGCCTGGCTCATGGCCTGCATCACCCACTACGTGTTCATTAAGGTCTTGCACCAGGCGCTGGCCTAGGCCCCAAGGGTCTAGCAGTGAGCAGATGCAAGTCCTGCTCTCCGGAGCTCCCACTCCAGTCTGGGAGACAGGCGTGTGTGTGCAGAGCGGCGCTCTCCAGCGGCCTTTTCTGCGATGGTGGAAATATTCTAGACCTGGACAGTCCAGTACGGTAACCACAGTTCTCGGTCACTCTAAATGTGGTTGGTGTGATTAAGGAGTTGCATTTTATTTATTTATTATTTATTTATTTATTTATTTAATTTATTTTTTAAATATATCTTTATTGATTTCAGAGAGAGGAAAGGAGAGGGAGAGAGAGAGATAGAAACATCAATGATGAGAGTCATCGATTGGCTGCAGCCCGCAACCCGGGCATGTGCCCTGACCGGGAATCGAACCCTGATCGCCTGGATCCTAGGTCGATGCTCAACTGCTGAGCCACGCCCGGCTGGGCAAGGAGTTGCATTTTAAACTTTAGTTAAAATTTGAATTCAGATGGCCACGTGTGGCTCATGGTTCCCACCAAGGACACCACTCGAAAATTCCGCCCTTACAGAGAGGTACAGGAATCGGCAGTGTCACGTGGCCTTGGCTGGCTCACATGCCAACCATGGGCTTGCCCTCAGTGGCAAGGAAGAGAAAGGAAACGCATTTCTTCCAAAGAAATAAAGAAACACGGCTTTTCCTCCAGCCGGTCCTGGAAGCCCACTGGCTTAGGGGGGCAGAAGCAGACCGTGAGGCCCCCTTTCCTAAAGGAGGCATTCTCTCTATTTCCCTCAGATCAGTTACACCACGGAGCACACGCTCTCTTTATGCATTTCTTACCAAAGTACACGCTGTCCTCATCTGGCTTTGTCCCCAGAGGAACAACTCTTGGCATCTTTCCCACGTTAATGAAGCCTTACCTCTCGGCTCCAGTGCCTGGCCCCCAGAACAGCCTTCTGAATTCGTTCACTCTTTATTAGGCACCTGTTGTATGCCAGGTGTTCCAGACCCAGTGGATACAGCGGTAAATCAGACAGACAAGGTCTGTCCCTCCTGGAGTTTAAATTCCAGTGGAGCGAGACAGACGATAGACTTATTCGCCTAAATCATTTTGTGGTTACAAGGGGTTAAACGCTAGGGACAAAATGGGATGAATGAGTTTGGGAGACCCGGGAAGGAGGCTACAGGTTGCAGTAGTAAATGTGCTCAGGATTTTGAACAGTCACTTGAAGGAGGTGAGGGAGTGAGCCAGGTGGGGATCTGGAGGAAGAATGTTCTAGCAGGGCGAACAGCAGGTGCAAAGGCCCGGAGGCAGGAGCGCGCTGGAGTGGTCCAGGAGCTGTGCAAAGGCCCGCGTAGCTGGAGCAGACTTGGTGCGTGGGAGACAAGGACAGAGGAGTAAGGAGGGATGCGGGAGAGTTTGGTGGCACAGGGCCTTGTAGCTCAAGGTAACTGTAGTCACTCTGAGTGAAGTGAGGGGCAGGGGAGGGTTGTGAGCTGAGGAGAGGCAGGAGCTGACTCAAACATTAAGATCCCGTTGGACAGGGCAGAATAAACAAGAAAGGAAGGACAGACACTGGGTATTTCATTTTTCCCAAACCTGCGCCTCAACAAAGGCTGTAGGGCAGGGCTGAGTTTACTAGGGGTTTAGGGGCAATGGCGGATAGGAAGTGGGGGGTATATTCTAGAACACAGTGAATGGTTAAAAGTGAATGCTCTTAGGTCCCCTCTTCCCAAAGGCCCCTCAAACCTTCCTAATTCTGGAAGCCTTGGTTTGGGGCTCTCTCTAAAATGCTTCTCGGGCCCAGCCAGTGTGGCTCAGCAGTTGAGCATCAACCTAGAACCCAGGAGGTCGCGGTTCGATTCCCAGTCAGGGCACATGCCCTGGTTTCCATCTCGGTCTCTGGTGGGGGGCGTGCAGGAGGCAGCCGATCAATGACTCTCTCATCATTGATGTTTCTCTCTCTCTCTCCCTCTCCCTTCCTCTCTCTGAAATCAATAAAGACATATTTTTAAAAAATAAAATGCTCCGCAGCCTCTCCCCACCATACCCCTCCCTGCATCCCCCAAGGACCCCCAAAGACCCCCCTCCTCATCCCCAGAGCCCTCATCCTGCCTCTGCAGCCGGACCCCAGGAACTCCAAGGTTTTCCCCCTGAAACTGGGAAGCAGTTCACCTTTTGTCCTCAAGGGCATTTTGCTAAACGGAGAGAAACCTGGAGAAGTCACAGTGGGTCTAGAGGCGGCAGGGCCCGCAGGCAGCGGTGGTGTTTTTCTTGCCTATATGTGTTTCCAGATGTCAGCTGGGATCTCCCTGCCGGTTAGGCTCTATATGAAGTGAATTCAAGTGCCTGCTCCAGCGGTGGGAGGGGACCTCCCCGCGCTTCTGCTCTTTCTCCCGGGCTTTCTTCGCCCCACCCCGGGGCTTTGCTTCCGCCGATCCGTTCACCGTGGGGAACGCTCTCTGGCTCTGCGTGCCTCCCTATTTGGGGTGCATGGACTAATTCTCTCCTTTTCTTTAATTTCTTTGCAACCAACACAGGCATTTAGGTGCACATGTGTGGGAGTGTGGATAGGGCTTTACTGGCCGTTTGGGGACACAGGTATTTACATCAACAGACAGGCAAACAACTCAGAACCCCAGGTGACGTTCTTTGCCTTCTCTGCCACCCAGCAACCAGCCACACGTCTTGATCTCTCTCTTG